AAAAAGCATTTAATTTAGTCCTATTTGAGAGTCTAGAATTAGCACTATAAAAGATTAAAGTGTCTAAAAGAATAATAAAATATATTCTGAATCTGTTTCATAAAAAACAACTAAAGATCATTATAGCTCATAACTTAACAGAAAAGATAATAGCAGAAGATGACATAGATCAAGAAGAAGTAATATCTTTATTAATATAGTAAGTTTTCTATAATCCACTGTTAGAAAGAATACAAGAAGATAAAAATTTAGAATATACAGTTGAACAACAGATCAAAAGAGGAATGCAATGCAGCAATATCACAAAATATTGCCAAGCAGTCATTGTATATGCAGATGACACAATATAAATTGCAAATAATAAAAGACAGCTAATGGTGATATTAAAAATAATAGAAGAATTTTTTAAGATAAATGGATCCAAATCAAAGCTGTTGATAATAAATATGAAAATGAAGAAAGAAGAAAGAAAAATGATCTTTGAAGGAAGCAAGATAATAGAAAAAGCAAAGAACAAGATAGTTTGCTTACTAGAAATATAGCTAAATAACAAAATGAGTAAAGTGCTAGTAAAAAAGAAAACTAAAGGAATAATTAACCAAACAATAAGAGATCTTAGATACAAAAGATAACAATAAGTTAAGTTGCATATATAAACAATATAATAATAATACTAAAATTAAGTTATATATTATAGCTAACAAAAATGTCAGAAAGAAGTATAAGTGAAGTGCACCAACCAATAATAAGTTTAGTGAAGCAAAAGAGAAATCTTCAAAGAATATTAGAAAATTGCATAATAGAACACAAAGATTTTGGAAGCTGCAGAACATTATAACAAGAATTAATAACAAAATAAATAAGTGGCCTATTAGTAAGACTAAATAGACAAGATAGTCTTGGACAGTTAACAAAACTAAGAATAACACAAAAGTACCAGAAAGCAGGCTTAACAAAAGACATATAGAAAATAAAGAAAATGTTAAAAAATATAGAAGGTTGGAAAAGTAACTTAGCTTGTCTGATATTGCTAAAAGCAAGAAAGTTTAATATAAATATAAGAATAAAAGGCAATTTATAGACAATATTTGGATATAGAATCAAAATAAAAGAACTTATAGATATGCAGTTACAGAAAAGAAGTAATATAAGAATAAATGAAGCAGGCTTAATATATTTAAGCCAGCTAATAAATACAAAAAGAGAGAGATTAATTATATAACAATGACTAAAAAGTTACCAAGCTTTATCAAGTAAAGGAAAAAAAGCAAAATGATTCAAAGCAATAGAACTAGAAGTGCTCATTAGACCAGAAAATAGAGAAGTTAAAAGACAATCTAGAACAATTAGACAAAATACTTAAGTAATGCAAATAAGATAGGAGTATATCTCAGAAGGCAAAAGAAAAAATAAATAAATAGCACATGATGTACAGAATATTTGACAATTAGAAAAGATAGTCAAAAAGAAAAAGAAAAAAAATATTAGTAAAACATTGACAAATACAGAGTAAAGAAAATGAATTAGTTATTGAAATTAGCAAATGTAAAGATTGTACAAGAGAAGAAGAATAACAAGAAAATAGTTGCTAATAGTGAATAAGAATAAATAACAAAATTAATGTGATTCTAGATATATTAATAAAAAAAAATAGTAACAAGATTAAGATAGCAATAGATCAAATAACAAAAATGATAAAGACAAACAAATCAGTGATAGGAGAACAGTAACTCAAAGGACTAAGAATAATAGAAGAGCCAGAAGTAGAGATAATTAGGTAACAAAAGCTAAAAGATAATATTAGTCAAGAAATAATAAAACTTTTAAAAAAGAATATAATAAGAAACAAGAACAAGTATATAATATATACAGATAGAGCAGCAAACCTAAAAACTAAAGAAAATACAAGAAGCAGAAATAGTATAGAAATAGAGTAGGTGCAAACAAATAAAATACAAGAATGACCAGAAGAAGAGACAGCATTAGGTCTAGAAGAATAGCAAATATTGACAATGGCTAAGTTAGTAGTAATATGAACTGTAATTTTAACAATACTAAGAAAAAAGCAAGTAGAAATATATACAGATAGCAATGTGACAATAAGAAACATTAGTAGAGACTTAGAACAAATAAGATTCTCAAAAAGAAAAATACAATATAAATAATGAAAATTAAAGAGCTTATTATAACAAAAAACATTCAGATAGAGTTTGTTAAAGTTAAAAGTCACAGTAAAGACAGATGGAATAATAAAGCTAATAGTCTAGCAAAAAAAGGTGCAACAAGTAAAAAAATAATACAGGTTGAAAAAATTAGTTGTGAAGAAATAAAGTACTGCCTAAAGTGAGAAAACAAACATACTGATATATCAACAAGACTGTTATATAAATAGATAACAAATACAAGATTAGAAGCAGAATGAAAAAAAACAAAAGCTATTAGAGAATTAGAACCAAAAACAGAAATAATGATTTATGATTAAACATACTTTTGGAATAGACTAAAAATATCTAAAGGAATATACTATACAACAAGAAGAAGTAGTACCAGAAAAAGTGCATTTATAAAGTGCATAATGAATAAACTTCCAATTCTAGAAAAATTTAACAAAAAAAGACTAAATGTATATACAACAACAAAGTTTCAAGTGTGCTAAGATAAAATAAAAGAAACACAGACACATTTAGTAACATGTAAGAGACAAAGAAATTTGTAAAAAAGAATCCAAAAAATAACTATTGCAACAGTCTGGAAAAGATTAAAGAAAGAAGAAAAAGTTTGAGTTCTCTCATATATATTATACATAATACTTTTCAAGAAAACAGAAGCAGAAGAAATTAAAATAAAAGAAACACTAATTAAAGGTTTTATTCTAAAAGAAACAAGACAAATTGAGGCAGCTTCTAAGTATAAAATCAAAATAGCAGTTTATGAATGTAATAACAAAAACAGCCTAAAACATATTTTATAAACAAGTATAGAGAATATAATGTAAGATGATCAATGAATAGGAGAAAAATAATGAAATAACAGGTAAAATAAAAAGAAAAAAAAAAAAAGAAAAAAAAGCACAAAGTAAAAAAGGAAAACTAAATCAACAAGCCATAAAAGGAAAAAAAAATTAAAGAAAAAGAAAAACAAATTAGAAAAGAAGTATAAAAAATAATTTTAGAACTTGTTATGAAAGAGAGAAGACTCTTTCATTATGGACTTTAAGTAATCAAATAAATGACTTATTTTTATTTGAAATAATGCAACAGGTTGTACTTAAATACTATTAGAGTAACTGGATAATATTGAGCTTAGTGATTAAAGATATTTATATAATTGCAAATGTAATTTCAAAATCTTAATAAAATACCAGTGTAACTGCTTAAGAAAAAAAAAAAATTTAATTTTAATTTCATTTAATAAAAAAATTAGATATTACTTTTGCCAATGACTATACATCAAGTCAGGTTCTACCTAACATTGGAAGCTTGAAACATCTATATGAAGTGTAATATTATATATATATAAAGAAATGTAAAAAAACCAGTGTTATATAAAGATTCAATGCAAACCCATAATAAGACCATTAGGTATAGAAGTTTAAAAAACTGAAGAGACAGAAACCTATTTAAAAATCTTAAATAAAAAAGTAACAAACTTTTGATTATGCCATTAAAACCTATAAAACACCTTCATAAAAACTGTCAAATAAACCAGATGATAAGATATATAAAGGAGCATATAACCAACTAAGCTACAAAAATCATCAGAGAAAAAAGATACATAAGTATATCATATCAGATCATCTGAATTAAAAATCCAAATAATTAGTTGATTTCAAGTTATAACTAGTAGAAGATGATCAAGAAAAAATCAAAAAGAAAGTACTAGGATTTAGGTAAACATTACAAAAATAATAACAATTTAAGATGTAATCCTGACTGCAAATGTTGGTCTTAACTATAACATTAAACCAGGTTAGTAATAAAAGAGAATATAGCTTACTTTGGTAGATTTATTTCAAGAATAAAAATATTAAAAAATTATAATCTTATAATTAAAAACAAATAAATCTAATTCTGTGATCTAGTAAATTAATACTAGATTCAAATCAGAAGGTTTAAATGAAACATCAAAACAGATACAACAACTGATAAGAAACTCTAAAGTGGACTTCTTAAATAGGTAATATAGAAAAGTTACGCATAAACCAGTTGTACACTCATCTGATAGTTCAATATAAATACATCTATATAAAACATGTACCTGAAATAAGTATTAATAAAAAACTAGAACCAAAGAAGTCACATTAATACTGAAAAAAAAATAATAATAAATTTATATTTTTAATGAATTTTTAACCAATTTTAATAATTTTATTATCATTAGAATCAAAAAAATCTACTTTACAACTTTTACTTAATAATTCAAATTAGTTTACTTAATATAATTTTTTATAAATTTAAATATAAAAAAGAATTACCATTAAGTTAATATTTAATTTTAAAATAATACACTCTACTCTTAAAGTTTATAGTAAATTTCTGTTTTTATTATAATTTATCACTCTGTGACATATTCGCTGACTGGTATAGCAAGCGAATAACGATAAAGAAAATAAAAATTTGTCTCCTTAACGATATCACAATATTTCAGCATTCATCTGACGATACCAGCTTTCTAAAAAAGCTGGATCTTCGACAACTTTCATTGCTTTTTCATAGATACTAATTGCCCGCGGTCGTTCGTTGTTGACCAGAAGGAATTTAATATAACCTAGCCACAAATCTAATGATAGCAGCGAAAGTAATAATTAATATCATATCTCTAATTCCAAGTTATTAGCAGACAATTTAATGTTGCTGATTAAAATGAAATCAGATTAAAATGAAAATGACCCCTCTCCTAACCTAAAAATGCCAAAAAAATGCGCCCAAAAAATTTGTATTTTTCGATGATTTGCTGATTCATTTTAATTTAATTTCATTTTAACCTATCACATTTAAAAGCTACAAACCACACGGTGCGTTATCAAATTGACAAACTCGATCATATAACCATTCCAAATGAGTTTTCGCGTCTAGTGCCATAGGTGAAGTTATATGCTTTTCCTCTATTTGGATACATGTTTGATAAAACTCAAGAGTCGGTAGGATCTTACTTAAAAGACTATATATATAGATTAAGCAAAAGTTTAAAGAATGAATAAAGGAGTTTAAACCATTTGAATATTCTAAACATGAGCACCTTTTATAAACTTGACGCGTCTTTTTCAGCTCTCCAACCTCATCAGCCCATGTTAAGTATCGGTTGACAACTTTATTTTTAGCTTTCTTCGGATCATGCTCGTCAGTAGTTATCAAACTTAATGATAATGATGCGACCTTAGAAACCGATGCCTAAATAAATGTATCCTGATCAATTTTGACAAAAAAAAAAGAAACCCACCAAGAAAAGTAAACACGCAATATCAAACTTAAGGTATACCGTGAATACTTTTTCCAGTTCATGACTTTCCAAACCACCATCTTTCCACTTTGATAAATTCCAGGATAGATAAGAATCCCACAATACCACTGATGCAGGATTCTTTTTCAATGCTAAGCTATATAATTCGTTTACCGATTTATCTCGAGATTCTTCTAAGGACATTACAACGCCAACTCTTTTTATCCAAAGTTCTGAATTTTGAGGATAAATATCGGTGGCTTGTTTTGCAATATCAAGCGCATTTTTGGAATTGGAATCAAGACTTTCTAAGATCCATTCAATCCATTCGACATACATTTTTTCTGAAGCAAGATTTAAAGAAGTAGCAGTTTCATATGCTTGAGACAATAGTTTTATAAAATAGGAATTCTATTTAAAGAAGGGATTCATTTGTTGAGCAACAATCTCGTTTCCACGTTTATGAGTAATACCGACTCGAACGAATGACACACCAAATTTTTATCCGTAACTTTATGCAAATACTTATTAAGAAATTTGGTAAATAAATACCACATTTCTTTATCAGCCAACTCCTAAAATTGAATAAAAAATATTAGAAAGTAATTAAAATGAAATCTCAAACTTGTAATTAAACAATAAACCAAACCTCGACACTCTGCTGAAATTCATTGACACTATTTTTAACAGCCACCTCGAATTCGGGGGTTTCTACGTCTAGCGCAGAGAACAAATGTCTTTCTGCAATGTAAGCTCTTGCTTCCGCATTTTTGCCAAAATCATTACGAATACTACTTAGACATTAAAACATGTAAGCCAATGGTTTCCAAGACAGAGTATGATAATAGCAAAGTAATATAAAGTGTGATTTACCTTTCGTAAATGGTATCTTGAATTATTTGTGTATCAGAGAACTCGTAACAGATACTTACAAATTGTTGACGAAATGCTAAATTGTCTGGGATGGCTTTTACAATTTTGTTTATTTAACAAACCATTCATCCAATTAAATTTTTTTTTAAAAAAAAAAAAAATTTGAAAAATGAAAAAGCATTAATCATGAAAACAGTTTTTACCATTAATAGCATTCAAATACACAGTCCTGGCAATTTCTCCGCATAGCATTTCATTATCATCATTAAATTTATTCTCGTCTACATGCCCTGAAATTAATATCACGTCTCCAAGAATTGAATTCTCTAAACTTGATGGCTCTGAAGATATTCCTAGAATCTTTCGTCGAGCTTTAATTTTTTCAATATATGCAAGTTCAAGTTTAAAATATTCATGCCACAGTTGACTAGAACCAGGATTTAAGCGCAAGCTTCGCTGTAATAAGGCTAGTAGAAACATTGAGGATAAGCATACATAATATTAGGTTAAACAAGTCATAAGTGTAGTAATTGATACCTCTGGATGCAGTTATATTAGCGTTAGCCTCAAACTCCCATTTTGCGGCGAGTATCCAAAATAAAGGCTTCGTTGGATGAAATTGTAAAGCTCTATTGTATAAATATGTTTGAATCTAGAAATGATTATTTTTTATTCTTATTTTAGGATTAATAAATTTGTAACCGTAGTTACTGTAACCGCATCCAATCAAGCCAATCAAATTTCAGGATCAGGGTAAAAAAAAAAAAAAAGCAGTTTTGCTTATAACTCAAAATTTTGACTATGAAACCACACCTTTTTGCATTCTAAAGAAAGATTCTTTGCTAAATTTTGATGTAAACTCTGTCCTTTTCAACTCTAGCTTCATTCTAACCATGACCTTAATCACAAGGTTTATTTATTCTTATAGAAAAGGTTGTTTTGATAATCACGTTACATCCAGTGTTTGAAGTCTGAGATTAAATCAGTATTCTCATGTTCTATTTAGTGTTTTTAGAGTCAATTTTGGGGTGTTCTCCAATATAAAAATCAGCTTTCACTGTTCTTACTCACAAATTTGTGTTCTCATGAGAACTCTGAGAACACTAATTTCAAACACTGGTTACATCTGAACTTAGTTGCGGTTACAGTAAGTTACGGTTACAAACCAATTATTTTTTTTTAAAAAAATTTTTTTACCTCCCAAAGATCTTGCCGAGCAACTTTCCAGCTCCTGCTGATTTAGCAAAATCTATATATTGAAGCCACAAAGAAATATCGCCTTTAAACTTTATGACTGCGCGATCAAAAATATGATATAGCCTTCTAATAATTGCGTAATCTGATATTGATGTCTTTCCTCTTATTGCTAGTTAAAAAGATAGAATGTTAAAAACTCAATTAATTCACCACGATAATGTCTTAATAGTTACCCAAGCGTTCTTTGCGTTTTTTTCTCAATTGTTCTAAATTCATTTCGTACTCTATATACTTCAAAAAATCAATTTTTTGACAAGGCCGTTTTTTCAATGAGTATTCAAAATTTGTTCGCTGTCTAATTATGGATTTTATTTCTTGCTTTGTTTATAAAATTATTAAATCGAATTTATTTATTTGTAAATCACAGATAATTCCATAGAAATTCTATTGTCGGGAATTAAAAAAAAAAAAAAAACAAAATTAAAAACCTTTGAAAATAATTCTTTACGTTCATAATCTTCAAGTTCAGGCACCATTTTTTCGAGATAATATTGTACTGTTTCAGCCATTTTGGATTTCGGTTGACTAAGTTTTTTTCTTTTTATAAAGGCAGGAGCTTTCTTGCAAAAATTTTAAATTGACTCAAGGGCAAAGACGGTTGTCCAATCATTTTATTTTGATATATCGCAAATTTTTTAGCCAATAAAATTTTCTCATGAAAAAATTTTGTCGTAGAAGGACTTTCTTCTGATTGGCTAATGTAAATCAATTGCCCGGGTAACTTATTTATACACCTTAGAGTACTTTTTGAAAACGTAACGTTTCACTAACAAATAATCGCCCGTAAAAGCCATTCAAAGTTTCAAACGAGCATTAATATTTACTTTGCAAAAGAATCCAAAAAAAGAATCCAAGTTTTGAATATTTTACGTATAAGACAATTATGCCTATTACTGGACCTTGCTCAATTACTATATGCCAAGCACAGTCATCAATTCGTTGGACTGACAACGTTATTAACAAGAGACAAACTAACAATACTTTGTCTTCTTATCATCAAATAGATGACATTATTTGTCTAAATTGTTATAACGGAATAGTGACGAAAAGCTTAGTTAAATTTCAATAGTACTTTTATGTTGCAAGACAAGATGAAGTTGATCTAACTGTTGTTGAAGTTGAAAGTAGATGACCTGAAGCTGATTTGACTAATGAAGAAGCTGAAAATAGACAACTTAAGGCTGAAGAAACTGAAGATGAGATTACTAACATTATGTGACATTAGAAACTAATAAGGTTGATGAAATTAAAAATACTATTAGTTTTTTTTTAAAGTTATAAAAATATTTTATATAATTATAAAAATAGAAATAAAAAAACCAACATTATACTTATTTGATAGATTTTATTTTGTTATAAAAGAAAAAGATGAGAAGTTAAAATTTTTTTTTAATGAATAACATTTTTTATTTAACTTATTTTTTTTTTTTTTTTTTTTTTTTTTAAAGTGAGGTCTTGCCTCGATTTCTTTATTGATTATTAATATCTAAATACATTTTTATC